CCTAAAGGTGTTTCTTGGGATGTACTTCCAGACGAGCTGCTTTTGGCAATCTTTGCATATTTGCCCCTAAATGATTTGTTAAAAGTGTCTGTGATTTGCAAGAGGTGGCATTGTCTTTCGTAAGTATTATTTCTCATCATTTAGTACTAAGAAAACCTTTGTTTCCATCAACTGTTAAATGATCTCATTCTCATCTTGTTTATTTTTGTATAATTCAATTTATGCTGCATGTGGGTTGTATATATAATCAAAAGATATCTCACATATTTTAATATTAGTAAATTCTGTTAAATAGCTCTCCCTCGTTTCAATCTTTTGTGACACTGAAAACTTCCTGTGATTGTACTCATAGTTCTGACCATTTCTAACTCACTAACAAGTAAAACTCTGTGCCTTAGGTTTGATGAATCTCTCTGGCAGACTCTTGATCTGACTGGTAGAAATTTGGTGCCAGGAGTGATTGGACAGTTGCTGCCTGCAGGTGTTACTGTATTCCGCTGCCCAAGATCTTGTATTGGAAATCCATTGTTTAAAACAAGCATGTAAGGCTTTTTCTGCATGTTTTGGATCCTGAAACCACATCTCTGAATATTCATAGGTTCTCTGTGTGTTTTTGGATTTAAGGTCTCTACCAGCAGTAGCATTTGTGCTGTCTCTGGAGTGTAGAAGCGCTGATCAATGGTTAGGCATGTGTTGAAATAAGAGGATCTGCATTTACCTGTCAGTTATTAAACGAAGTTAGTGTGATTTTTTTTTTTTTTTTAAAGTATCAAGCATCATCATCCACTTGCAAAATATATATCTTGTAGAGCCAAGAATTGTCAGCATCTCCAGCAGTTTTATATGGGAAGCTCAAAAAAATGACGTAACTCCAGCAGGATAGACTTTCAGGTGTTACGACCTGCAAATGCCTTGAAGATAAGTGTTCTGCAGTTTTGGCTGGTAGCTTAGCAGTCAGTGAGCTTAATAGTATATCCACTGTGCAGCTGAATGCAACAGTATAATTTTCTGCAAGCTTTGCATGGTTTTAGTGTATATTTGTGGTATGGGGAATTTGTGGAGCAGGTTTTAATGCAATTTTCGTAACCTGTATTTCTCCTTTTTTAGACCTCTCAGAGTTCAACACATGGATTTGTCAAACTGCACAATGTCTGTTGCAGATCTCCAGAGTATTCTTTATCTGTGTGCAAGGCTACAGAACCTCAGCTTGGAGGGACTAGTGCTTTCTGATGACATCATCAAGTGAGTGACATGTTTGGGAGTATTCAGTAAATACCTTCTGTTTGGAGCTATCTTTTTGTACAGGCTAGCAAAAGAATGCAGTTCAGAGTTGTTCATGGTGGGAGTCTTTTGAAACAGCCAGTTTTAGCTGTCTAACAGAGCTAGTTGGCAGGCTAGATGAGTTGCTGCTTTCTTCTCTATCGTCCAAGAGATGAGGAGGAAACACCCCTCTGGAAGAGTGTTTCTTGGTGGCTTTTTTTTCATTCCTCAGAGAATGGGGAGCGTGGAGAAACTACTTATCTCTCTATGGTTTATGTGTCCATGGGCTGTTCCTGCAGGTACAGCAGAGCTACTTTTATTTTCCCATTTCTGTGCTCCCAAGAGAACTTTGTGTTTGACATACAGGTTCTTCTCTATTTAAAGGAGTCTCAGCAGTTCTCCCACCAGATGTTTGTTGTGCTTCTGCACTATTTCTCACTTCTTTGTACCTCACTCTGAATGTCTGGAAAATTACGGATCCTGTCAAGCAGATAAACTGTTGTTTGGTTAACGTGGAAAGATGCTGATGGATTTGCAGCTAACCTCCTGTTCAATAACATCAGGTGATTTTGGAGGTGTCAGGGACCACAGGTCAGATGGCTGAGACTCTGGGTGTCCTGCTTTCTACTTCTGAGCTTTATGATGCCTTCCTCACACCGAGGGGGCGGGGGGGGGCGAACAAACAAACAAAAAACATAGCACAGATAAAGCAGTATAGTTTGGCTTTTGATACCAGATAAATGATGGAATAATGAGGCATTTATGATGAAGGAATAATGATGGAATTTTATTACCTGGTGTACAAATGTAGATACTGGGTGTAAGGGATTTTCCAGGTTTTGCCAACTGCATGTCTGCTATAGTCTTGCAACGAATGCATTCAGGGGGATGCTATTTAGACATGTGTTTTGTTCTGGAATAACCTTGATTTTGCAGACGGATGACTTCAGAAATTGGATGATTCCTTTGCCTTTTGTAGAGGTATAGTCATCTCTAACAAGTGATGGTCTGTGTTTAATGGCATATAACAGGAGAAGGCAAAAAGAAATTGTTTTCTTTTAAACTT